GCAGAGCTCAAGCCCTAGGACCGGGGAAGGGGGGGGGGATTAGGGGGAGGAAGAGAAACAATGAAAAAGAACTACAGGTATATGCAACAGTGGGGGTGAACTTCACAAATAACAGTAAAAGGATATTCTGATTCATTTACATAACACAAATTAGGCAGGCAGTATGGAAAGCAGTTTTGAAGGAGGGGGAGGGAAGGAATGGAAGGGGTTTATCGATGCATCTAGTTCTAGCAAGGTTTTAATTGTCTGGGATGTTACTAGCACAGATAACTGCTTGACAAAAGGGACCAGAACCTGAGCAATAGAAGCGTAGCACCACAAACCACGGTAAGACAGCTCTGGCGTAACTTCCGCATATAACAACTTCCGGCGCTCCGCCTCTTGCCTGCAACAACCGGAAAGCAGGAGTGGTCCGCGTCAAGGAAGAGGGAGGGCGTGAGGGGGAACTGTGTACAGAACTTAACTAATCGTTTGTCCAATGGGAAAGGATGTGTTTGTGGACCAATAGGACGTAGAGAATAGAGCACCGCCCACAAGCCCGTCGAGCCAATGGGCTGTGTGCAGATGGTAGATGGGCAGGGGCGTGCGACTGAGAGTTGCATCGCGGTATGGCGGGTGGGGCCCGGGAGGTGCTCACGCTGCAGTTGGGTCATTTTGCGGGTTTCGTGGGAACGCACTGGTGGAACCAACAGGTGAGATCTCCTGGTGCCTTTCCAACTGAATCCTTTGGAAATCTACGGCGTTGACTCCGCCCCGCGTATCCTTCTTGCCTCCCGAGTTTAGTCCTCTCTATATCTGCTCCAGGATGCTGCCTTGGGCCGAAACACCGATGCCAAAGAGTCGGCCGGAGAGCTGTGCCCTGATGTCCTGTACCGGACGGGCCGGACGCTTCACGGCCAGGAAACGTACACGCCGAGACTCATCCTCATGGATCTGAAGGGTGAGACGGTGGCAGGGGTCAGCCAGTCTGTTTTTCCTTTTTTCGCATGCGGAGTCTAGCATCCATTCACTTAAAGAACCGATAAGGACACTGAAGAACCAGAGATGAGGCACTGAAGAACCAGAGATGAGGCGCTAAATCACCAGAGGGGCACAGCAAAGAAAAAATTTACCCTGCTCAAACTGGTCTCCAAAACAGTTCGTTTGCTCCTGGACAAAGTGAGGTGTTGAACTGACACACTCGTGGAAAACCACTGGGTGCAATTTTTGCCCCACTAGTTACTAAGTTGAGAACAGAGGCTAGAATCTAGATTTGGCTCCTAAACCAGGCCCAAGAAAGCTTGAGCCAGGCATGAGACACCAAGTTGTCTGATGATCAGATTTAGTCCAAGTCACAGAGATGTCTTAGGCTTTGACCTTAGCATTATTGTTTCTATATAGGTAGTCTTAACTCCCTAAGAGAAGAAGGTGGACTGTACAGGGACAAACAACTTGATGCTGCTATAGCATGGTATGTATTTGGTGTATGGAATAGAGGGGGGAACATGTTTGTGAAAACAGCTGGGGAAACCCTAGAAACAAGTTCTTTGATCAATCTTTTTCAGGCAGGGGAAGCTCACCACCCACAAAGAAGAAGTCTATCCCAAGAACCCTTATCTCCAGGACCTTCTGAGTGCAGAGGTGAGGGCTTCAGCTTTAACCTTTTAACCTCATGCTACAAGTGCCCTCACCAATGCAGAGAAAAAGACAGTTCTTTTCGTGACTCAGCCAGGTGCCAGTGGCCTTGCCTGTAATCCTAGCTACTCAGGAGGCTGAGGTCTGAGGATCACGGTTCAAAGCCAGCTGGGGCAGGAGTCTGTGAGACTCCTATCTCCAATTAACCACCACAAAACCAGAAGTGGCACTGTGGCTCAAGGAGTAGAGCACTCGCCTTGAGCTAAAGAGCTGAGGGACAGTGCCCAGGCCCAGAGTTCAAGCCCCACGACCGACAAAAAAAAAAATTGTGATGACTTAATCAGAAGAGGTGAAATGCATCCTGCAAACTGGGGGATAAAGGATAAATGACCTTTGCCCTTAAACTGCCTAGAACTAAATGTAGGTTTTTTTCTCTCTCTCTCAACTATCCCAGGGAGTGCCCAGTAGTGATGGTGTCTGGAAGGTCAAGTCCATCCCTAATGGCAAAGGTGAGAGTTCGCCGGATATAGGAAGTCTGGGCAGTACAATGGGGCCTCTGAACAGAGAAGCATGGAGAGTTGTGTGTCTCTTCTGTTTGTTCTTCAGGTCCACCTCCAGTCAGCACTGCTACAGCTCCAAAATCATTTATACCACCAGAGGGCACCATCAGAGTCTGGTCAGACTTTCTGAGAGTTGACCTCCATCCTCGGAGCATCTGTATGATTCACAAATACAACCATGATGGGTATGAAGGCCTCGAGAAGCTGTGACACAAATAGCATATGCCCCCACCAACACACTAGATTAGGCTCAAGCCTATCTTTCTTGACAAACCAAATGTTGAAGACAGGGCTAAGTCTTTCATCACTTATTCGTGGCAGGGAAGCAGGTCGGCTGGAGGCTTTTGGCCAAGGGGAGAGTATCCTGAAGGAACCCAGGTACCTGGAAGAACTGGAGGACAGGCTGCACTTCTACGTAGAGGAATGTGACTATTTGCAGGTAGTGTGTGGCAAGGCAGACAAGCAGGATAGATATTTATTATCCTACACTTATTTTCATCCTTCATCTTTCTCTAGGGCTTTCAGATCCTTTGTGACCTACATGATGGCTTCTCTGGAGTAGGTGCTAAGACTGCAGAGTTGCTACGAGACGAGTATTCAGGGCGGGGAATAATTACTTGGGGTCTTCTCCCTGGGCCTTACAATCTCAGGGTGAGTGGAAGTTGAGATAAAGAAAAATCAGAGTAAGGAAGGAGAAAGGAGAATCCCACTGACAATGTTGTTTGATACAAACTCGTTTTCTTTTACCAGGAGCCCCAGAAAAACATCTATCGTCTGTTAAACACAGCCTTTGGTCTGGTGCGCCTGACTGCTTACTGCTCTTTCGTCTGCCCTTTATCCTTGGGCGGAAACTTGGGCCTGAGACCCAAGCCACCTGTCAGCTTCCCTTACCTGCGCTATAACGTAAGGCTCAATGCTTTTTATTTTTTTGGGTCCGGTCGTGGGGCCTGAACCACTTCCAGCTTTTTTCTTTTTGCTTATGTGGTGCTGAGGAATCGAACCCAGGGCCTCAGGCATGCAAGGCAAGCACTCTACCGCTGTGCCACCTTCCCAGCCCCATCAATGCTTTTTTTATGATTGTGGCTGGCCACAGACTCAAATCAGCTTCTCTCTGCAGTGGCTCTATTTTATTTTATGTGTTAAGCTGACAGAACAGGTTTATTTAGAAGTGGAAGTTGCAAGATTCTTTCTTTGGAGAGGGGCTTCTAAGAGGAGTCCTATGGTTCTGTTCTTGAAGCATTAGCTTAAATATGGCTCTTAGATCACACTGGCTGATACTAGTCCAGCTGTGGGCCCAATACACCTTTGCTTCATGCCCTGGATTTCTCTGCCATTACTGTTGTCTCCACACACTTTTCCAGGCCCCAAATACCACGTGTTTCTCTTCTGTCTATTTTACAGGCCACTCTACCCTTCCACTGTAGTGCCATCTTGGCTACAGCCCTAGACACAGTCACTGTTCCCTATCGCCTGCGTTCCTCTCCAGTTTCCATGGTTCATCTGGCTGATATGCTGAGCTTCTCTGGGAAAAAGGTACAAATCTTTGTGAGGAGCTGGGTCAGCACTGAGAAAAAGCTCGGTAACCTGATCTCCTCCTGATCTTTAGGTGGTGACAGCAGAAGCAATCATCCCCTTCCCCTTGGTTCCAGGCAAGTCCCTTCCTGATACTCTGATGCAGCTTGGAGAAGCCAGTCCGTGGACCTCACTGTCTGCATGTGGGGACCCTTCTGGAACACGCTGCTTTGCCCAATCAGTGGTGCTGAGGGGCATAGACAGAGCGAGCCATACCAGGTAAGGACCATTGGCCTTCAGAGCCTGTGTTAGAACATTAAGTCTTAGTTCTTATTCATGTTGCCAGAGTAAAGGTGATTTTGGCTTTCTCCTGGCAGCCAGCTTGTCTCTGGGACACCTCTGCCCTCTGCTCTTCATGCATGTACCACTGGGGAAGAAGTCTTGGCTCAGTATTTACAAGAGCAACAGCCTAGAGTCATCAGGTCAGTAGAAACACTTGCTCCTGCCCTTCTCTCAGCCCTCCGACCCCCCACCTCGCCTGGGCTAACCTAACCATCACCCTCTGCCCACACAGTTCATCCCATTTGCTGCTGACTCCCTGCAGAGTGGCTCCGCCTTACCCCCACCTCTTTTCTTCAAGCTTCAGCCAGCAGGGCGCAATGTTAGAAGGTCCCCCCAGGGGCACAGGTAGGTAAGAAGTGAGGAAAACATAAGATTTCAAGCAAAGGTACAGTTCCTGGATTAAAATTGAAAAAAAAATATATATCACAGTTAAACCTTTATTCACCCTTTGGCTCCTGAGAAGTGTCCTTCCTATGGAGTGCTGGTATACAAAGGGGACAGCACGCAAATCTCTCAAGTGTACCTTACAGTCTGCTCTACCAAGCACCCAGATTCCCTATCAATACAAGAGGCTCAAGGCAGAATCCAATCCATTCAGTCTTGCTTTTCTCTCGGTATGTAGAAGTGAAGAACATCCCAGTGTTTGGGGCCCTGCGCTCTTCTGCATCCTTGTACCAGACCCTGGGAGGCTTAGCAGATGAGCTCTCCAAACTCGACCTGCGGCGCTGGGCTAGCTTCATGGACGCTGGAGTAGAACACGATGACATGGAGGAACTGTTGCAGGAGCTCCGCAGCCTGGCCCACTGCTACCAGGAAGGAGACAGCTCCCCAGACTAAAGTTCCAGGAGTTCCTTTGCAATAAAAAGCTGCTGGGTGCATGAGCCCAGTGTATTCCTGCACAGGAGCTCAGTGTCTTAGAACTGGCTACAGACATTAGAAATTTATTACATTTAGAAACATTGTGAGTTGATCACAAAACAATAAATATGTACCATTAGACCCAAAAACAAAAGGAGAGAAAGGATCCAGGCCTCTCTCCCTGAATGCTATTTATAGAGTGGATTTTGAAGGTCGTCTTCAAAGACCCTGAGTGAGGCAGAGGCGAAAGAGCTCTGGGGCCTAGATCTAGCCTCACTTTATCCTTGGGCCCAGCTCTGCTCTTCAGCTCTGTATGCAGAACTCAAGGACTGCACAAGTGAAGTACAGCCACTCTCTCCCAGAGCACAGGGTGCCTGGCATGTTGGTCCTATGCAAATGACACCACACCTTCCAGGAGCCTCAATCATCTGGCTCCTCCTCAGACAGCAAGTCCCCATGGTCTGACAGCTGGTCTGCATTGCTGGTACTGGTTGCATCATCTTCATCCTCAGAGCTGGCCTCACAGGCCGTGTGGAAGAGCTGCATGAGTTCTCGAAAGCGGTGAGAAACCTAGCATAGCAGAAGGGCTATAATTACTGTTCCAAATTAGGAACATCAACATTTACTAAGTAATAGGTGCCAATCTGAAATTCTTTTATTGATTCCACATTTGTGAGAGTTGTGTGTTAATAAAGAAATTCCAGAACTAGGAATGTGGCTTAGTGGTAGAGTGCTTGCCTAGCATGCATGAAGCACTGGGTTCAATTCCTCAGTACCACATAAACAGAAAAAGCCAGAAGTGGTGCTGTGGCTCAAGTGGTAAAGTGCTAGCCTTGAGCAAAAGAAGCTTAGGGACAGTGCCTAGGCCCTGAGTTCAAGCCCCAGGACTGGCAAAAAAAAAAAAACAAAACCCACAAAATTCCAGAGGCCCAAAGTCACACTGCTAAAAGCAAAAACAGAATTGAAACTTGGAGCTGCTGCTACTACTGTTCTCTCTTAGACCTCTCCTCTACCATACTGACAAGTGAAGCCCTTCCTTTATGTAACTGGTGTCTTGAGTTTGTAGAAGCCTATGTGTATGTGTGTGTACAATAGTCTTGGGTCTTGAACTCAGGGCCTCAGCACTGTCCCTGAGCTTTCTTTTGCTCAAAGCTAGCACTCCACCACTTGAGCCACAGCTCCACTTCTAGCATTTTGGTGGTTAATTGGAAGAGTCTCACGGACTTTCCTGCCTGGGCTGGACTCAATCCTCAGATTTCTACCTCGTCAGTAGCTAGGATTACAGGTATGAGCCACCGGCACCCAGCCTTATGTCTACTACTTAGTCAGCCACTCTGTTCTCTTCTTGCCAGATTGCCTTTGTTCCTCTGAAGCTTGAGACTTACAAGACTGCCCCACTTCACACATTCCTTCTCTCCCCACTTACCTCAGCAGGAGTCTTATTCCCCAGCTGCTGAGAGATGATGCTAAAGGTCTGTGGCTGTGCTCCTTGCTCCTGGCACATGGTGAGAATCACTCGGTCAGCTTCCCTGTGACAAGTATATCATGATTAATCGTAAAAAGCCATATGGATACGTTCTAGACTCTTTCCAAATCTACCATCTATCCTTACCTTGTCCACAGGACAACTTTCTCCCCCGTGGAGCTGACTTTGCTGTTATTAGCACACACTGTAGCTTCTGTGGCCTTCGGTTGCAGTTCTCCTTGCTGCTCTGGGCCCTTGCCTTGTATTCCAGAATCTTTAACTAAATCCCCTCTAAAGGCTTTGGGGGAAGTCTCTGAGATATCAACTCCTGAAGAAGATTCATGGACAGAAGACATCTTGTCTGCTGTCTTTGTCCCAACTCTGCTTGAAGGCAGCCAGTTTTCATGATTACCTGGTTTCCCAGACACATGTATTTTTTGTACTTCTCTGGTCCTTGAAGAATCAGGACTGAAGAAGGAAGCAGGGCCCTCATTAGTGCAGGGCAATTTCTCAGTTTCAGGTGCACCTGAGACCAGCATGGGGACTTCTGAGTCAGCTGCTGCCTGCTGGCCCTCCTCTTTCTGAGGTGAGAGAGATACCCTGGGGCAGGAAAGAGCCTCAGCCCCAGCCTGGTTTCTGACAGTGGGGGATACAGCTCCAGTTTGGGAGCAAAGTTGGAGAGTGTCTGGTAAGTGAGGTGCAGGGCCCGCAAGGAGCTGTTCTGTAAGAGTCTCTTCTTGAAGAGGCAGCAAAGTGTTCCCCACTGTTGACCCTGCTTCAGAGGGAAAAAAGGATTAGAGGATGCACAGGATCATGATGTACCCAAGAACTGAAAACTACCATAGTCACTGGTGAGGTGCTGGAATAAACCTATATAAAAGAGTGGCAGAACACCAGGCACCAGTGGCTCACGCCTGTAATTCTAGTTACGCAGGAGGCTGGGATCTGAGGATCACTGTTTAAAGCTAAATGGGGCAGGAATGTCCATGAGACTTTTTTTTTTCCCAATCATAGGGTTTGAACTCAGGGCCTGGGCACTGTCCCTGAGCTTCTTTCGCTCAAGGCTAGCACTCTACCACTTGAGCCACAGCGCCACTTCTAGCTTTTTCTGTTTATGTGGTATTAAGGAATCGAACCCAGGGCTCCATGCATGCCCACGCAAGCAGTTTACCACTAAGCCACATTCCCAACCCCAACCATGAGACTCTTATCTCCAATTAACCACCAGGAAACCAGAAGTGGTGCTGTGGCTCAAAGTAGTAGAGTGCTAGCCTTGAGCAAAAGAGCTCAGGAATAGTACCCAGGCCCTGAGTTCAAGCCCCAAAACTGACTCGCCCCCCCCCCAAAAAAAAGTGGTAGAGGTGAGTGCTATATCATTCACACAAGGATATAAAGTCCTAATGCCAAGAGCTGAGTCTTAAGCACTTAGGTCGACAGGATTTGGAGACCAGTGGAATTCCTGGTCAGGAATGGGAATGGGGGGATAGTATCAAGTTCTGTGGACTACACAGTACTGTAGGAGAGATTACAAGCTGAACAAGAAAAGGATTTCTATTGAAAGGGAAGTACTATACCCATCCTTTGAAAGACTGGTGGGTTGTTTTTTTTCTTAGCAGTCATGGGGCTTGAATTCAGGGTCTGAGCACTATCCCTGAGCTTTTTTGCTCAAGGCTAGTGCTCTACCATTTTGAGCCACAGAGCCACTTCCGGTTTTCTGGTTGCTAATTGTAGATGAGTCTCATGGACTTTTTTGCCCAGGCTGGCTTTACACTGTGATCCTGACCTCAGCCTCCTGAGCAGCTAGTATTGCAGGCATAAGCCACGTGCCTGGCAAGACTGTTATCAAGCTCTCTAAGGATCCTGTTGAAGTTAGGAGAATGAAGCTAAGAACTCATTGGGAGAAAGGCTGGGCAGGCCTAGTTTGGCAGATTACTCACGTGGAATGGGCACCTCTCCCTTTCTCATGGTCCTGCTCGTCCTGCTCTGAGTTGACTCAATGCTCTCCCGTTCCTCTGGGACTTCCTCTTCCACCACATCCTTGCCCGGGCCTGCTTCCTTAACACCAGACATAGGACTAGCTGCTCCATGGGGGCTGCTGCCCACCAACTCATGGGGCTCCTTGTTCTTGTAGGATTTGTTCTCACACACCTGCAAAGATACTTTTGGGTCAAAGGTGTCTTGACTTCCCTCCTATGTTTCAGGGGCCCAACGAAATATAAAAGCCAACTTGCTGCTCATACTCAGCAGGTCAACTATAAAGCTCATAGAACTTTAAATAAATAGCCCTAACCAGTGTATTGAACTTCATTACTACTCTAACCACTGAGGACTACATTTGTGCCTCCAAGAGAGCCAGAATTACATTTTTTGTTGTTGGTGGTCGTGGGGCTTGAACTCTGGGCCTGGGTGCTGTCCCTCAGCTCTTCAGCTCAAGATGAGCGCTCTACCACTAGAGCCACAGCACCACTTCCAGTTTTCTGAGCAGTTTATTGGAGTCTCACGGACTTTCCTGCCCGGACTGGCTCTAAACTGAGATCCTCAGATCTTAGCCTCCTGAGTAGCTAGAATTATAGGCGTGAGCTACCATGCCCAGCTCAGAATTACTTTTAGAATCTATTTTTCTTTTTTTTTTATGTTGCCAGAGTAAAGGTGATTTTGGCTTTCTC